ATTTTGAAATGTATATCGACTTGAATTATTCAATGTTAAGAAGCTTTAATATGACCTGAAAATGTCAGATTGCATACTGACAGATGCCCAAAAATACCTTAAATCGAATGAAACCTGCCCATACTTATATATATTCTCCCTGCGAAGCCAATTCTTATTTTCGGAGGTATGGCCCATTTTAATACTAATTAGTCATCAATATGGAAACTTTTTAAAACCGAAAATATTCCCTTTAGATGTTACTTAATGCATTCAGTAGTAATAAGATAAACACAAATATTTCATTTCAATCAAATTCAATGTTGAAGATCAGGGGTGTGCAATAGACTTACCTCCACGTGGTGCACCCTGGGCAACGTATACTCATACGATAAAAATGTCTATAAAGTGACAGTTGACTTCTCACTTTAAACTATCATCACACCACTGTATGTCATATTCGACTGCTTCCCCAGTACCTACCTCACCTTTTTATCTACCATTGTGTCTGTCTCTTTTACATCTTTGAAACACTCTTCTGTCCCCCTCCCCATCTCGACTTTTCGTCACTTTGATGTTCCTTCCCTCTGTGAATCCTGAAGTCAACTAAAGGGCTAATGATAACCATCAAAAAGCCTGCCATTTGATATAATAATAATGTTGAAGATCAATGAAAATCAAAGCTCAGTGGTTTTGGACTACAACCAGTTGGAAGAAATTAGCTTCCCTCATTTTTGTATTTAAAAGGTTATGGAATGCTATACCAGTGTGGAATAATGGAATAAAGCATCGCTTTCAATAGTGAAGGATAAATCTGTGACCTAATGAACACAAATTTTACTTTTTTGAATAAAGCTTTCCAGAGATGGTTAGCAGAGTTTAGCTATGAAAGCTATAATCTTAAAAATTATCATCTTTTACTTAAACAGCTTTAAATAAAAACTTTTTAATTGAAACTTCACATTCAATAGCGCAAAAAATAAAAAAGATCATTTTTGTATTCTGGTTAATTTATGAACCCTTCAAACCCAATTATTTTTATGAGTAAAATATGTTTTAGACAAAATGGTAATTGGAATGGAGGATAAAGCAATTAGCAACCTACAGCCACTGAAGTCCTTCTCAGCTAATTTCTGATATTTCTCTTGCGGTCCAAAGTACTTTGTGGGGACACTTCGCACCCCTGAAGGAGTTTTGCCTTGTCGCCCTCTTACCTCGTCAACTACCTCCATATTTTCAGTAAGTTTAGGTGGTGCTGGTCTTGGTGGAGGAATTTTTGTTGGTGTGGCGTTCAGAAAAACGACGGACTTTGCAGCGACCTTTGATAGAGGAACTGTAGTCGCATTTGGTGGCGGCATTAGTTCAGCATCCACCAGTGATTTTGACTGCTTTGATGCCTTCTTGTGGCCTTTCATATCAACGACATCTGAGGTAAAAACACTAACTTATGTTTCATATTTAAATGATAAACAATTATTTAGGTTCCTCATCCAACGAATAAGTTATCGAATATTTGGTATACTATCGCAGTCATTTTAGCTCACTTACTTTTTATTCTTTTCTTCAACTTTTTTAAAGCAGGCATTGCCAATCTCTTGAAACTTCTTTCAGACAAATCTTTAAGGAAAAAATATTGTATGAAAAAGCATGAAAATAAGATACTACTATTTCGTATCAGTAGACGGAGTCCTACCAGATGAGTCGGAATGAAGACTAGTGCCAGAATCTATGCTACATCTATCTGATGTACCACAATTTGTATTCCAATTCATTTCACTCGACCCTCTAAGAGTTTTTACGCGCTGAGGATCAGGTGGTGGTGGTCGTTTTGGAGCTTTCCGCTTCTTGGGAGTTTGTAAACTCCACTGCTGTTCACATGTGAGCGTGCCAAAGGGATCCATGAAATACTCATTAAAAGTCTGACTTCGGTTTTGAGCAAGCTCACGAGTAATTTCCTCCAGCTCTTGGCTCGTTGCGAGTAGATTTGATCGGTTTGGTATATGGCGAATATCTTCAAGGGAATCAGACAAACGAATTGCTTCGATTGAGGCATTTCGAGATTCAATGATATTCACCGATTCAATGCAATTGCTCAGAGGTGAACTTTGATTATCTTTAGTTCGAACATCTTTGGCATTCTCTATGAAGATATTCCCCTGATTGGCGCGGTCTATAAATATGTTAGAAATTTCAAGCAATGGAAACGCAAGAAGTAAATTAAATCAGTTGAGATTACCATCTATTAATTCTTCAGGCTTCGGAACGAGATTCAGGACCAATTTAAATGTCACTGGAACAGCTGAAAGAAAAGTTGTAAATTAAGCCAATCCCTTTAAAATGAAAGAAAGTACCGGCAGAAATTTCATCGAACGCATCGTAATTGAAAGTCAAGACATCCTTGTGGCCTTCACAGGAATGAAACAGGAGTCTAAAATTTAAAATATTTGATTTTTTTAACGTTTGCTCAAATTTGCATTCTGCTTTATAAAGTTAGGATAGAATGTTTAGTATGAGTAATCGCCAAAATGCCTCAAATCCGAGTTGCTTTTTGTGAATTCTGATTGGCCGCTCAAACAAAATTAAAACAATGGAATGTAGAGGAAAAATTAGCATTAAAGCCGACTAACTCATCTTCCTATTTCCTCCGATTGATACGACTTTTGAGCTTCTTGCTCAGAAATGCCTATCGTTACGTGTTACCCTTAAGACGTTTATAAGTTATGCAGGGAGACGCTCAGCCTAATCTGATAAATCTCTGAGGAAAACTTTACCTTGAGATCAGAGATACTTGTGGCCTATGGTAAGTCTCAAAGGGAGTTATTTCTTATTTGCCCATTGCCATTAATTAATAGGCCAGGGCAATTCGATCCTGACAGCTTGACAGTAATTTGGTGTTTTGATTTTCAATATCAATTCTAGGAAGTCGGTAACACACCCCCAAGACCAGTAACTTAAGTTGGAGTGCGATAGCTGAGCCACTACAAAATTCGGAATAATAAGAAAGGAAATAGAGCCAACGAGGATGATATCAGCTGCCTAGCTGAACATTTTCAAGTGGAAAAGAATAAATAAAATTAAGCTGAGCGAAGATAACAAAGATCAATTGATAAGACGTGCCCAACAACGAAAAGTGCAATTGGTAGTAGGCATAAGACTGGAATGAAGTGGCATGGAGGGCTGAGATTTGACTGAATGGACCCTCCCAAATGCTTATTCCAAGAAAGCATTTTGGGCAAACTGACTCCAAAAAACAACTTTTATTGTGTAGATATTTAGCTTATTTAAGGATGGAGAAGAACAAATCTCCGAATTTCTATCCATTTTCTCAGTTAATTTCAAATTTCTTGAGCTTCCCAAGCCTTTAATATATCGCATACATGATACGACCCTTTAATTTAATGAATATAAAATAGCAAAAGTAATAATTGAGAATGAAAGTTTTTCCTAAAGTATTTGTTTCACTAGCTCCTATTTTTGCTCAAGCAACGCTTGAAAGATATGGGCTTTTTACGCATATCAAAGAGAAAAAGGAGTAAAAGCGGAACTGACATAGGACATGAGCCTAAGTTGCCGACCTTGTCTCGATATGGTCCTATTTTTAGCTTAGCAAAAGTGACAGAACAAATACCTCCAACATCACGATTTCATGCTGCTTTGGCCTTCAACTTAGCATGAATTGCCGAACTGCATTGGCGTTATTGTATGGTAAATTAACTGCTTAATTTAACAACAAATTTACTGAACAGTGGGCAAATAAATTCAGTGAATCAATGGTTTTTCTTCCTTTCAAACTCAAACTATGAAGGCATACGATTACCATCAGATTAGCAGCTCAAATTTTAAAACGACCATACACGAACAGACACACTATTTCAAACTGAATCAATCTCTATTGGCTACTAAGATATCGTCCCTTAGCTTTTCTTTAGCTTCAGTGGAAGAAAGAATCGAAAATCTGGATTCTAGACCTTTATTGAATACAAAGAGAAATCTCAGCAAGGTGAAAGGGACTTGCGTGTGATCGCGAAAGTTGGAGCAGTAGAGCTGTCTACTGTTTCAACGAGTTCCCACAAAGAAAACAACGTCCAACCATTCAGTGTCAAGAACTGCTACCCAAAAACGTTTAATCCTGAGATGAATGGCTGCTTAAATTAGTTCAGATTTGCCACCAGGCAACCACTTAAGTGAGTTTGATAGTGGAAAGAGAAGGCACTTAATTCAAAGTAGTTGCAAGAAACATGGACTAACTAGATTGAAAATAAAGCGCACCGTGTTCGTAGCGTTGGGCAATTGATTAGGTGGGATTGAGATTTATTTATTTCAAATGGCAGGCGTTATGATAGCCATCATTAGCCATTTAGCTGACTTCGGGCTTCACAGAAGGAAGGTTCATCAAAGTAGTAGAAAGTCGAGGGGTGGGGATCAGAAGAGCGATTCACAGATGTAAAAGAGTCAGACAGACACAAAGGTAGAGAAAAAGGTAAGATGAGTACTGTGGAAGGGGTCGAATATGGCATACAGTGGGGGTGATGGTAGTTAGAAGCCAGAAGTCAACTGCCCATTGATAGACTGTTTTGCCGTATGAGTATACATTGCCCAGGGTGCACCACGTGGAGGTAAGTCTATCGCACACCCCGGTGGAATTGAGATAATACTATAAAAGAACCGTTTAGTGAATATGACCACCGTACTCCGATTATATGCCCATTTT